CCTAACTCTCTTACTGTGGTTGGTTCTGTTTATCTCCTTGCGGCCACTGTTTTGTTTGATTTCAGGATAGTTAATGTTACCTCAGGAGATAACTCATCTTTTTAAAAGCTGAGGCCAAGGCTACAACGATGAAATATTACCGAGGTGGATTGTGCAGATTAACACATAATAAAGCTTAAAATTTTGTTAACTGCAGTCATTCTAACTCTCTTACTGTGGTTGGTTCTGTTTATCTCCTTGCGGCCACTGTTTTGTTTGATTTCAGGATAGTTAATGTTACCTCAGGAGATAACTCATCTTTTTAAAAGCTGAGGCCAAGGCTACAACGATGAAATATTACCGAGGTGGATTGTGCAGATTAACACATAATAAAGCTTAAAATTTTGTTAACTGCAGTCATTAGAGTTCAGTTAACACTTTAAACAAATCAGTGAGGGCAGATCATGTCTTTACACGATGATGGAACCTGCTGAAGCATAAAATTGTAGAGTGCTAGAAAGGAGCAATGAAAGTCGTTTGGTTAGAAAGTTAAACCAGGTCAAAATGCTCCACACAGATCTGTCCCTCTGTTAACTCCTCTGGAATCCATTAAATGTTTCCATATCCACAGTAAAACCATGGGGAATGCCACTCTATAACTTCAACTTTGTAGGAAAATAATTCGTATATGAAAGTCAAATGTTCAAATCTATTTAACTACTAAATGACAGTCTGGACATTTCTGGTCTACGTGACATTCCAACTGAAGGTGTATGTATGTACATGTCACTTCTGAAATGCAAAACAACATGTTTTTCAGTTAATTTCACAGTAGTCATAAAGCTTCATAGTTGCATAATTTAAATTTTAACAGACCTAAATTTTAAACTTTGCCCAGCAGAGTAAGTATGAGATCTGTGCCAAAAGGAACTTTTGGGAGTTAAGTGTTTAAAGGGATCAGGGTCTGTGGGCATGGGGGCATGTGAAGTCTCCTGGCCTGTAACCATTTCAGAAATTTGTGAAATGGCCCTCCTTCAAAAATTATTGTCCACCTCTATTCTAAAATGTTCTTCCTGGGGAGTAGTCCTAAACCTGGGCTCTGAATAAAGATCTGGGCTGCCTCCTGTTTCTATGGGGATGTAGACTACTCCACGATGAATACTTTCTGAGTTGGAGGATCCCAGAGTGAAAATTGGTAGGAAAGAAGTAATTTTCCCATTTTGCTAAATGCACATACTTCAGCTAAAGCATTTTCTTTTTCTTCATCTTCCTAGGAATTTTCTTCTAACAACACTGAATGTTTCACTGGACATTCCTTAGGTCCAATAAGAAAAAGTAATCTGCACTCTTCAGACTCTAGCTTTGACAAAAATATGGAAATGTTACGGGAGAATGTTAATGGAGGACACTTTACAAGGTAATTGTTCTCCTTCCATATTTCTTAATAATCACTGTTAAATTGTGTTTTCTCTTGTTTAAATGACTGACTTTGAAATATTCCATCAGCTCCTAGATGATCCTAAATTTTGCTCTTTTACAAATAAATGATTTTGGGAGAGGAGAAATATACGTCTCTTCCATTACAATGTTAAGAATCTCTGCAAACAGAGCTGACAGTCCCGTGTGGGGCCAGAAGTGATTTCTAGAAGTGGTAGCCCTGCACAGGGCTGGGGCATCCCTCTGTCCACAGTGGGCCGCTCCCCGGGTACTGTTTAACTGGTGATCCATTCACGTAGCTATTTCAGATCTTTTCCTGATAATATTAACTAGGGATGTGACCATGTAGCCAAGAACATGATTAACCGATGAGCCTGGACTACCTCCTTACCATAGTCAAGCCCAAGGAAAGCCACAGTACTGTTTGACCTTAGAATTTGTTTTTTAAAACTTCAGTAGGGCAAATCCATAT